CTACCCTTAGCACCACAACAAAACAAAGCACTACTAATTTCTGAATCTTTATATAAAAAATTTAGAATAATGCTAGATGTATACTTGGAATGTACATCCTTGTTGACATTTGATGTAGTGTTAAAAGATGATTGGAGGAAAAATTGTTTGATTTTAAACTGTCCAATGATGTATTATCACGTGGCACAGTAGAACATGATATACATGTAACATGTTTGAAAAATTTAAGTTCTATATTTATGTGTATGAAAGCAAGCTGTGTACAGCTGTATCTATTTATTGTTAATTTAATTCTTAGATGTCGTGGTCGATATTTTTGCATTTTCTTTATACCGAATAATAAGGATGATCTCTTTTGTTTTTTATTTTTATTTTCTGTCGAGATAAAAATAGTGTAAATGTCTATATTTTTTAATAAACTAGTTCTCATGAGCAATTACTTTTTATTCTATTTTTAAACTATTAAAAATATTTACTATTTTGAATGGAAGAAAAATAAGAAATTTTCGGAATGTGTCAAAATTAAATATTTATTATTTGAATTTTTTAATACAGTTTTGCTACATATACATCAAGTTTGACATTGTATGAGGTGGTAACTTTTTGTACATTAATTTTGACACCACTTTTTTCAATCAATGGCCAAATTCCATCCACATAAATTCATGTCATCCACAATGTAACCCAAAAAATGTACAACTAGCATAATTGTTTTTAAATGTAAGTTCTACTGATATCATGGTTGAACTCTTTCCACATCGCACAATCATCTCTTTCGATTTCTCCAACAATATTTTGCATCACTATTCAAATTGTGCCACATTTGAGGAATATCAACTAATATGTAAACAATATGTACATCTAGCATTATTGAGCATATTACCAATTGATGACATCAAGTCATGCCAACTTTAAGTATGTCATCAAGTATTTGAAATCAATTAATCCTCAAGTACAGGAAATATTTCATAGGGACTTACTAGACTACTCACATGGTGGACCCCACCATGTATTAAACAAAAAATAAAAATTGTGCGGAACCCACACATGTGAGAGTGTCTTATGAGTTTTCCTGTAAAATCTTTCATGTAGGTGAAGTATCTCTCTCATTTCAAATATTATGGCAAACATTATTTAAGACAATATGGACCAATGATTTTAAACAATATAATTTGCTTGACACGTGACCCATCTATAATTGAAAATTGTAAATTTGAGTTGGGATTGCACATTTTGTTTGTTTGTCTCGTCACTTGTCTTCTCCAAGCAAGGGATCCAAGGTTTTTATTATTTTTTTTTTTATTTTTTTTTGCTTAAAGCAAGTAAGGCCAACTTACTTTTAACATCACCACAGAACATTATATATCCCTATGTTTTATTAGACAAACTTTGACACTGGAGAAAATTTAATCAACTAACTATCGGAGCTGAATACTCGTTGATTTTACAAATATTGCATGATATAGTATATATGCTTATAGTAAAATGTAACAAACTCGTGTTGGTTTTTACCCAAATTTAATCAATGGTGGCAAGACCACAAGGACATTACATATCCCTATGTTTTATTAGGCAAACTTTGACACGAGAGAAAATTTAATCTACTAACTATCGGAGCTTAATACTCGTTGATTTTACAAATATCGCATAATATAGTATCTATGTTTATAGTTAAATGTAACAAACTCATGTTGGTTTTTACCCGAATTTGGTAAATAAAAGGAGTCGCATTGCGAAAGGGCAAAAGAATTTTAGTTAGGCAATAAATATGAAATATTGCAGTAAGGTGAAAAAACTCTTTTTCATTGAGGAAAGGGAGCAAGAAGATAATTCCTAGAAGAATTGTATTGAAGAAAGAGAATCAATTTGCAATTAGGAAAAGAACTCCTAATGCAATAGGGAAAAGAAATTTGCCATACGGGAGGGTCTTTCCTATAGTTTCATGGCGTCATATTGAGAATAATTGTATTTGGCACCAATGTGACGAAAATTCGAACCAGAAATTACGTACATCCAAATATAAGAATTTATGGGGAGAAAATTGTTGGAGAGACTAAAAATAATAATGATACGAACTTGTATGCTTTTGTTTTTCTTAGGGAGAAGTTGTGCGAGTGGGAAAATATTATATTGTGAAGTTTCCTTAATTAATAAAGTATTTTTCTCAAGTGATTGTTGACAAGTCAAACGACATTTAATTATGTTTTTCGCTTTCGACTCATTTTCTCATTTTTGTGCAATGAATGAAAAACTTTCCCAACAATATCTATGGTGCCGATATGTTTTATGTAAAATTAATGTAAATATTTCCACTTTCCCCTACGTTGTCGTCAATTGAGCAAATAAGGATTGGCTAACGCCAATAAAAGTNNNAGGATTGGCTAACGCCAATAAAAGTCATTACTAATTCGATGCCTGCTGGAAATTGAACAGGAATCAAGCTATGTGGCCTTGGTAATGCCAGGGACCTGGCAAAGGGGTTTAACTGATTGAACATTGAGGCAGTTGGAAATGTTAGCATGTGACACAATTTATTATTAGTTTAGTACGATTCTGCTGCATTTAGCATATGACCAAAGAAGGATAATGTTAGAGATACATAATTTTTGACCATAATGGTTCACGTAACACTCACATGGGGTGGGGCCAACATCATGGTCAAAAATTATGTACCACTAGCATTATCCTTGTTTTTTTTACTTATTTTTTTTTCTTTTGATTGTACATAATTTTTGACCATAATGTTTTTTTTATATGCTAAATGCAGGAGAATCGTACTGAACTATAATAAATTGTGTCACATGCTAACATTTCCAACTGCCTCAAGGCCACCATCTGAGTGTTATGTGAAATCCTATGGATAAAAATTATGTACCCATAGCATCACTCAAAAAACAAAGATGAAACAAGGTATATCAATACTATTCTTTTTAAGATAGATTTCATCACTTGCAAAGGTAACAACAAGATTATCGGGTGTCCGTTTCTCAAAATACAACGCTTCTTCCAAAGTCTGTGCTGCACTATACCAACCATGTCAGTTGAACCAAACTGTTGACAGTATTTTTCTCAAATAAAAGAAACTCGAACTAAACTTGTTCGGACAGGCTTTTATTTCTAAAAATTAATTCCGACGAAATTTTAATTTCAGAAAAATAAGACGAATAGAATTTTTGAATAGAATAGATAATTATAAATCAACTTTATAACTTAAATTGATTTTGTGTAGGATTTAATGGAATATGGGATCTTGTATATTGAATTTCACGTGTTTCTAATGAATGGATTCACCATTTGGTTCGGATAACTCTGAGTCCTTATATCACATTGCTTCAGATTGTGCAGTCCATATTGTATCCCTCCGCCGTGGTCTTGCCACGTGATTGCCAACTTACCGAGCCATGATTCCAATTCTGAAAAATTTAAGGCTGCACAATTCGTCGAGACGATGCATATGGATTGTGAGATTTTCTCATCTAGTAAACTATTTTTCTCATGTGACTAGTGACGATTTATCAAATCACGTTTAATTTTTTTTTTTTTACGTATTAGCCCGACCTGTAATCCGGTCCTGGATCCATCCTTGGATCATGGTATGCATTGTTAATAGACGAATGTATTAGTAACAAAGAAAAGATTCAATATTCTTTATTCAAGCCAAAATTTGGAATCTTACGTCATGTTTGATTCAACTAGAAAGCTGAGTAAAGTTTAAGTTAAAATTTCATTGAACTACACATTTTTTCATCTTTAAATTTCATTGAACTATACATTTTTTCATCCTTAAATTTCATCAATTTTATCAAAATTTAATCTGGTTTTATTTAAATCAAACAAGGTCTTATTAGCACGGGACTTAGGGGTGGGCCTATTCAGGCCAAGCGAGAGCACATGCAGCATTGGGCCTTGGCCCCGCTCCTATATCAGGCAGTCTTGCTTGTACTGGGCTGGCAAGAAATGTGCAGCCCAATTGCCTGTTATGGCCAAGTTTCTACCCAATTCCGTTCCTGTAACCCAAATCCCACTATCCTCGGCCCAATTAAAATGACCCAAACTCCAAACCTTAAGAAAAAATTAACTAAAAGTACGTTTTTTAAGATTTAGTTTCATTAATCTTGCATCCACATTTTTTTTAATTAGGTGGTCATATGATAGTAACTATATGGTCAAGAATAGATTGTATCATAATCATATACTATACTAAGTCACAACCATTTATCGGAACAGTTCACAAATTAAAAAGTTGAACCCAAATTTCTTCTCGTCTACCCTCTCTCTTTGAACTTTCACCAAAACTCCAAATCATCATTTTTCAGTCATTCGATGTGTATTTTATCTTTGTAAATCAATTTTACCCTCTTCTCATACTACTTCGACTTGTCACACCCGCGTAGAAATAATTTTCTAGTCCTGCCGTCGACTGCACAACCTTGTAACACTCATGTTTTGACATATCTAACATTGCTTTTAATACCAGTTTGATAGAAATTTTTTAAAACTCCTTGCAATGAGGATAGGGTGGATAACCTTCATTTTTGCTTGAAGTTCTGCTGCCTTCCCCCTTCTTATTTTCTGGTTGATGCTTCTTCACACCAAAGCTTGTTTGAACCTTATTCTTTCCGTTGACAACCAAGGCTCCTTCAACTTGTACTTCCTGCCTAAACAACCTCCTTTGCTCAGTTGCTTGCAAGGCATTGATTAGCTCAGACAAGATTATAGCAGACAGGTCTCTGACCGAGTTAATAGACATTTTTCTTTTTGTTATTCCAAACATATTTTTAATTTCATATTATTCCAATAAAATAATTTTTATATGTAAATCTAAATTTTTTGAAGTTACCGTATATCACTGAGGTGACCGTATTTACATCAAGCCACTGTATTACATAAAGTTACCGTTCATCACTCAATCACCGTTTTTACATCAGGTTAGCGTTTTATCATTTAAATTACCGTATTTCAATTATGCGAGACGACACCATTTCATATTTCATATTCAATTATAACGTCACACCCACGCCCAATTCTAATGCATTGCTCTTCAATGGATTGCCCACCAACAATAGAAACAACGTCGATGCCCAGATATTTTGCAAACATTGTGGTCTCGTTCTCAATTTGCTTAGCGAGCTCTCTAGTAGGTTCTCAATTTGCTTAGCGAGCTCTCTAGTAGGCGCCATCACTACGGCATAAGGTCCCTCGGCCCTATTCTCTCCTGTCATAGGCGGAAGACAGGTAATGTAAATCAACATGGGAAGAAGGAAAGCAGCAGTTTTTCCCGAACCAGTCTCAGAGACACCAATCAAGTCACGCTGCTGCAGGCCAAGAGGAATGGCAGCCATCTGAATTGGCGAAGGATTCTTATAGCCAGCCCTCTCCACTGCCTTCAACAACTGAGGACTCAACTTGTTCTCAATCCAGCTCCTCACAGGACGAGGAATTTTAGAACCCTCGTAATAAATACTGAAATCTTCCCTGAAAATTCTCCAGTCTCTCTCCGTCATCTCCTCGAGCTTCTTCTCCAACCAGTGGCTATCAACCAGAGAAATCTTCCCTGAAAATCCAGCTCCACGCTCTAACTTGGCCAATTTCTCCAATCGAGCATGCTCACGTGCCTTATGCTCTTTCTCTCTATTCCTTCGCTCCACATCCCGATCCCTTTCCCTCTCCCTCTTTCTTTCTTTCTCTCATTATAATATCTTTCAAAATATTAGGAACAAATCTCAATCGATTTTACAGCGGACCATGATCTAAAAGGGAAACATTCACTTATACCCAATTAAAAATAATATTTCATATTATACTATGTCATTGTATAAACATTAGCAGTACTATAAAAGGGGAGAAAAAACACCAAAAATACCGTTTCTAATTTTGATAAATTACAAAGTTTTAGACTGTCTAACATGAAAGATATTAAACAATAATCTTAAAGAGTACTTAAAACAAAGCATGAACCTCAAAAACTTCATCAAGGAAAATATGGCCTATATCCATTAGGCATCTCAAAGCGACATATAGGACAGGAGCGACTTTTCTTTAGCCATTTTAAAATGCAATTGCCGTGAAAAATATGGGAGCAAGGCAGAGTTGAGACCACAACCCCCATTGGGAGTTCCTCGAGGCATACTGAACAACTCTCAACCTCATCACCATCCTTCTTCTTTGGCAGCGACACAATCGCCTCCAAGCTTGCAGGAACCACGGGTCTATCACCACGAATTCGTCCTGACTGCAACAAACTTTCATCTACAACGTAAAATAGATACTTCGTTATGCTAAAAACTAATATTGATTTCATATGGCCCATTCTACCTATAGCTCGCCCAAGGTGAATTCCTTCATCAGCAAGTTGTTCTTTCATGTACCGATCACTCATGCCATATGTTTTTAGTTCTTCCACTAGTAGTTGCTTTAACTCATCGTAAGCAGCCGTGAAATTGACTAAAGTAAATCTTGATATCGCTGGTTCATTATCTTCCCTTGTAAGAATACATCTATCATCTAACCATCTTTTTATGGTCTGAAAATTGAATTCCAGTAGAACATCCATTGTTGATGAGGATTCATTACGCAACATTGGATCTGTCTCTGAAGAAAGCCTTACATCTACGAATGCATCCCAATCGGTGTACTCCATAGTCAAGAAATAATTGATCTTAATCAATTATAAGTATCTGTTGCAAGAACATAATATATGAGGCTCATGTTTCCATCAATAAACTTTTAATGAAGTTTCAAAGATATAAAATGTTATTTAATCCTGATTTTTCACGGATTACACTTGAGAGCAACCATAAACAGCCACATCAAAAATCAACAATTTAGAGAAGTAAAAAATAAATACATTATTTGTATAATTCCCATCAAGAAAATCGCTGTCGTTAGAAGAAAATCGCCACAAAGACACAACAATTTTCTAGCAAAACAATAATACAAATAAATTCTAAAAAGCTAGAAGATGAGAATGGCGATAAAGGGTGACGAACTGAGTGTGAATTCAACATAAAGCCCGATTTCACACAAATAAATCTGATACTAACCTTCCAGATAGACTTGCCTTCGCAGAAACCACCGCAATACAAGACAATTTGGTACCGAGGGGGTGATGAACAGTTATTAACCCCCTTTTCCTCCCCGACGATAAAAAACCCTTGGCCGCTTTTGCTCTATCAATAAAACTGGTTATTAATATTTTAGATATGGGTCCACTATAAAATCGATTGGGTCTTAGAACTGGATACGCTCTTAAATGGGCTTTAGATGGCGGATAATCTTTAAAGGGAAAAATTCACAAGTAAGAGGATAAGTTAAGTATCCCCTATTTCAAAATTAAGAAAAAAAGTTTGGAATTTCAAAAATCAGATTTTTATTAAATTTTATTATGATTTAATTAATTAATTATAATGATGTC